CCTCGATAAATCCAACAGTATCTGTTCTAAGCCAAGAGAGAGAGAGAGAGAGAGAGAGAGAGAGAGAGAGAGAGAGAGAGTGAGAGTGATTTTTGAAGTGATTGGCGAAAAAGTGATTTTGAAAAAGTGCTTTTGAAAAAAGCACTTTTTCTTCTGAAAATAGGTTTTGCCAAACGCCGCCTTAACACATTTCCCAGAAAATTTCCAAAGCCTACGGATCAAACGAGCAACCCCAAAACGCAAATCACAACAATCAAAGAAATTTCCCAGCGACAGGATCTCCAACAAAAACGCAATCAGCAACAACTTTTCCGGAAAAATAGTCGCAATTTTCGCAACAAGCCAACAACAACAAACCATGAAAACGCAAGAAGAAGGAAAGTTATAATAAACATCAGAGATTGTGAAAGGGGAATGAACCCTAATATTGTTCTTAATCAAGAAATAGCAACAAATCCGGCATAAAAGTCGTGAATCCAGGCCCAAAAACCTGCGATAAAAAAATATAAAATGCGATTTCTTGAGACCCAGAAACGGCGGGGGAGGGGGGATTGGTCGGAGATTAGAAGAGAAGCGCCGTCAGCGAACGAAAGCCGCCGCGAAGCCACTACCATCGTTAAAAGATTGATATCCGGCCTCAGTTTCCATCATCGGCCAGATGAAAGGTAAGAACAGACGAACGCGCCACCGTCAGAAGGAGAAGACATCGATTCAAAACGGAATCCAGTCGGGCTCAGACGGAAGGAAGTCCATCGTCATCGCCGTCATGAACACTCTAACCCACAGATCCGCCGCTTTAAACCCATAACCGGAATAGGGTGAGCAACGTTTTCAGTTTGGTTTTATTGCATGTTTGTTTTACAGGTGATCCGAGGAGACAGAGAAAACGTGCAAAAAGGAAGAAAACGGAAAAGCTCCAAGGCCACATCCATGGAGGTGTCCGCCGCGGCACTCAAGAAAGAAGAAAGGGGTTTTTATGAAACCCTAGAACGGACTGAGAAATAATAAGCCTCACGCCCTTTAATTCCTTTCTCTGTTCTTTATTTACCCTTTTTTTATTTTTTATTATTTATTTTATTAATTATGGTATTGTTTATAGTATTATTTTAATAATCTAACATTCTAGTTTAAATTAGTTGTTAATTTTCCTTTAATGAACCTAAAGCTTAAAAATTCATTATTTGAAAAAACAAAACTAAAAAAATTATTCCTTTTTTTTAAAATAAAAAACTTAATTTAAGGAGTTAGTTTAAAACTTAAAAACATTTTAAAATTAAAAAGTCATTCTTAAAAGCAAAATCATTTTAATAAAATTTAATTCAAATTAATAGTTTTTTAAAATTTTAATAGATTTAAATTTTTTTAATAGAATCTAATTAAAACATTTGAGGTTAAAAATATTTTTTTTAATTAAAACATTTAAGGTTAAAAACATTTTTTTTATTTATTAAAACATTTTTTAAAATATTAAAATTAAAATAATTTTTCTTTATTTAAACAGAATCAAATACACTTTTCTTAATTAAAATCATTAACACTTATTCTTGAAATAAAAATCTTTTTCTTTTAATTAATTAAAACATTTTAAAAATAACCGAATTTTTATTTAGAATGTTCTTTAAGATTTAACTTTTAGAAATTTAGAAAACTTAACTTTTAAAATTTTTATTTCGTTTCATCTTACACTTTAGTTTTCGTTTATTTTTCGGTTGTAATTATGCGAGGCCATCGTCGAGGTTATTATTCTTGCTTTTTATTTTTGGTTTATAATATATGTGAGGCTATCGTCGCAGTTTGTTTTCAATTCCGTACCGTTTTACGCTTTCTCACATTTCAATTGCCGCCATGTAATAATACTTTGTATGCATCATTTACCGTTAACGTCCTTCTGAAGGATTAGGTCTAACAGTTTGACTGCCGAGTCAATAGTCCTCTCCTTTGACCCATTCAAAATCCTAATTTGCCTAGGCGTCCCGCCGTGGACCAAAATACCCTTACCCTAGCATTAGGTCGAGGAGTCCCCGCACTCCGTTTTAGGGTTTACCGTCGTGGAATATTCAGTTTAATCCTAATTTCAATTCAACTGTTTCAACGTAGAAATAGGAGTCGCCGCACTCCACGTAAGCGCTTCCTTAAGAAACGCTTACTCCCTTTGAAACCTTGACCAAAGTCAAGACGTTTCTAACCTCCCTTTCAAGGGGAACTATGATTACTCTAATTCCATCCCATACCTCAGATACGTAGGCACAAGATGCGAATCTTGGCGAGTAAACTTAGGACTAACCCTTAGGTCTTTCAGTCACTCTTAACCCTTAGCTCAGTATATACCCTCAAGCAAATAATAAAGCAAAATAGTAAATTTAAACAAAAGGTTCATGTAGAGTACTACAGAAGTTTAGGGTGCTAATACATTCTCTAAGCTTAACCAACCCCTTACCTAGAGCTCTCCCCGCATTGGTTACGATGCAAAAATTAGGTTTTCCTTCTTTTGACCTTTTCCTTCAGATAAATCAAATTCGGTTGTGAATCAAAGATTTGCGATTCAAATTAATTAATAGTTTGATATCCTATTCTCACTGCAACACCCGCCTATGTGAATTTCGAGACAGTGGCGTCTAAAAGTGTAAGTTAGAGTTTCTCTTATGACAAAATCCGCGAGACAATAAAAGGACGTGATTATAAATAGTGGGATGTGAGAGATGTAGGCGAATAACCATTAAAGAGTGTGTGTAAAGTAACACCAATGTAATCACAAGGAATAACAAATTCAAAGCTTTGCTACCTAAAATTCTTTTGTGTTGTCTTTGCCAAGGTTAAGTTCAAATCTAAAGATACTTAACTGGAATTGGTCTTTTCATAATTATTACAAGATGAAGATTGTTGTAATTATTAATTAAATAAATAGCCCCTATTGTGTTTAAATAATAACATGACTCCTCACAAGTGAGTACAAAGTTGCAATATTTAGTAAAGAATTAGTAAAGAGTTGCAACACTTAGTAAAAAAGTGTGTTTTATCAAGGGTCACAATACTTACTAAAAAGTTGTAACACTTGGTGAAAGGGTGTGTTTTGGTCACAATACTTAGTAAAGAGTTGTAACACTTGGTGAAATGGTGTGTTTTATCGAGGGACGCAAACTTGTGGGACAACACCATTTAATCTACAAATAGACTATTTCAGATTCAGAAAACATACCAATTCGAATTCTCCTCTTCCTTGTTTAAAATCCAGATTTTTTTTCTTTCCTACATTCTAATTTTCATTTGTCTTTTACAAACTCGAAGTGTTGTAAATTATTAACAATTAATAATCTTGAATATGTTACAAAATGACAAGGAAATATTCAAGTGAAGATTAATTTTAAATTCAAAAATATACAACGCTTGTGAAGTGTTGCAGTAGGTTTGAATTCATAAATATGTAACACTTGTGAAGTGTTTCAATAGTTTTGAATTCGGAAATATGCGAAACAGTGTAACCTTTGGAAAATGTTGTTGTAGGTGAAACAATATAACATTTGGTAAAAGTGTTGTTGTAGGCGAAACAGTGCAACATTTGAAAAGTGTTGTTGTAGGCAAAACAATGCAACATTCAGGAAAAATGTTGTTGAAAGTGTGTGCTTCATCAAGGGTCACAATCTTATGAAACAACACCTGTTTGACATATAAATTGAGCATTCCGGGTTCAGAAAAGCAGATTAGGAAAACATATCCCTTTCACACAAAACTCCGGATTTCATCTTCCGTACATTCGAGTTTTCATCAGTATTGTGCAAACTCGAGTATAGCTGAAATATCTTGGGTATTCTTGCGTAGAAACTCTAAGGCAATTCGAGAGTGTTTGAAATACTATAAGGAAAGTGTTTCGTTCACGATTCTAGTTTCGGTCTATTTTTTTACAATTTAATTTTCTAACACAAAGTATGTTGAATTATTCTGAATATTCATACATGTAGACTCTGAGACAAAATATAAAATGTTTGAAATACTAACGATTCTAGTCTTGATCCATTTAACTTATAAATAATTTCTAACAAACATATAATATCTATGCAAAAAGTGATTTGTGCGATATTTTTATAAAAATCATAAATGTTCTGATACATCAAAATAGTTCTCAATGCTCTGGAATCGAAACCAAAGATAATTTATATACAATATTCACACTCTTAAACTCAAGGTCGTGGCGATTTCCCACGTCCAAAGTTGATTTTATCTCATAATTGTAGTTGCGCAATCTTGAGTTCGACTGAAACATCCTAGAATCAAATATATTTTCCTAAATTTTTGTGACGGTTTATACTGTCACAAGATTTTCTCAAAAAGATAAAAAGTCCTTAACTAGACATCCATATATCTAAGGTGGTGAGTTTTTCGTGGGTATTAAGTTCTCTTCTCACCGCTTGAATTGCCAATTTATCAAAGAAATATTAACTTAAGCATAACATGAATTGCCAACAACAAACTTATACAAGTTAAACAATAAATATGAGGTTAATAAAGGTTAGTGTCAAGATACTTTTATGCATTACTTTTTCTTTACGTGTTGAATAAAAAGAAAAGTACTATGGTTAACACTATTAAATATTTGATTACAATATTGTACTAGAAAAATGTAAAGCAAAGTTGGAAATCAAAGAGATTCTTTTGCATTGTTTATTTTCTTTGTTGCTTTAGTAAGAGCTGGCTTCCTCCTTTTCCTTTTTTCACATCTTCACACTCACTTTTTATGCATTGCATTACCTTGCTGACAAGTTGTCTCCCTTGAGAACATGAACTCTTGTGTTAGTTTCCCAAGAGTGTTATTTTTCTTCTCTAAGATTGATTTAAGCTTCTATTTCCATCATTCCAGTTTCCGTTCACAATAATACTTGTTTGAATTCGTGTCTGTGTCTGTCTCAGTGCTGCATAATAACTTACTCATTATTTGAGTTTGAGAAATTGATGTGGGGAAGCTTTGAGTTTTTGTTGCATTGTTAAGTTTATACTATATAAGAAGAATGGCAGGAGGTGGAGCTGCACCACAACCAAAGCAAGATGAACTTCTTCCACATCCGGTTAAAGATCAACTACCAAATGTTTCTTATTGCATTACAAGTCCTCCTCCATGGCGTAAGTTATTCAACTTCTTCATTGAAACTATTTTTTTTCTATACTAAACACTAACACTAACACGCTTCAATACGACGCTAACACTAGACACAACGATATGCATTAGGATCATGTTAGTTTCTAAATCATCAGAATCTCTTACATTTTTTCATGTTAATGAAGCTGAGGCAATCCTACTTGGCTTTCAACATTACCTTGTGATGCTTGGAACAACTGTGCTAATTCCAAGCTCTCTAGTTCCTCAAATGGGAGGAGGAAATGTAAGTCTTTGAATCAAAGAGACGGAAAAAGAAAAAGTTAAGAAACGGAGTGATTATTAATATCGTTGTTTGGTTCATAAATCTAATGAAGAATTCATTATGGTTTCAATATAGGAAGAGAAAGCAAAAGTAATTCAGACTCTACTATTTGTAGCCGGAATTAACACGTTTTTCCAAACAACATTCGGGACTCGTCTTCCCGCAGTTATTGGAGGATCCTACACTTTTGTTCCAACAACTATATCAATTATTTTGGCCGGTCGTTATAGCGACATTGTTAATCCTCATGAGGTTGGTTCATCACAAACTTGAGCTGATTATATCTTCATTTTTTTTCTTTTTGTTATTCAATCATTTAGTTTTACTTCAAAAATATGCAGAAGTTTGAGAAGATAATGAGGGGAACACAAGGTGCACTTATAGTTGCTTCAACACTTCAAATTGTTCTTGGTTTTAGTGGACTTTGGCGCAATGTAGTGAGGTTTTTGAACCTATCCTATCTAAACTACTTAAACATAAGTTTAGCCTAATAATCCATAATCAATCATATTCATGAATAATTTGCTGTTTTTTTGTTTAGGTTCTTAAGTCCTCTCTCCGCAGTGCCCTTGGTTGCTCTCTCTGGCTTTGGGCTGTATGAATTCGGATTTCCTGTGGTATAGATGCATATTTGTAACAAGAACTAACCTTTGATTTCTTCCTATATTTTAATGTGTGATTCTCACTCTTTTGATTGTGACTTTTGAATTCTAGCTTGCAAAATGTGTGGAGATTGGACTACCAGAAATCATCATCCTAGTAATCTTTTCTCAGGTAATATTTTCAGTACTTTGTTTTCCCTTCATCTCCAACAACAACAACAACCAAGCCTTATTCCTTTAAGTGAGGTCGGCTATACTATTCTATCCTGACACATGTTATTGCAGTACATTCCTCACATGATGAAAGGAGAAAAGCCGATCTTTGATCGATTTGCAGTTATATTCTCGGTCACAATTGTGTGGCTTTATGCTTATCTTCTAACTGTTGGTGGAGCTTACAAAAACTCAGCACCTAAAACCCAAATTACATGTAGGACGGATTGCGCTGGAATCATAGGTGGTGCTCCTTGGTAAGCTCAAAAGACATTTTCATAAGCTATTTGATAAGCCTTTTCAAAAAGTACTTATGCGAACAGTTAAGCTTAAATAAACTAATCTGAAGTGATAGTTCCTTACAAAAATACATTTTGTAGGATAAGAGTGCCGTATCCGTTTCAATGGGGAGCTCCAACATTTGATACTGGCGAAACTTTTGCTATGATGGCTGCTTCACTTGTTGCTCTAGTAGAGGTATGTTTATTGTTTCAACATCGAACCTACAAGTCATTTAGATTATCCTTTAATTGTATAAAACAACTCAAATCAAGAGAAAACCGCGATCAAACCGTAGAAATAATCGAACCTTAGACTATTGTTGCATCTTATACTCTAGCATAAATTTACTTGTTCGACAGTCATCCGGTGCATTCATTGCTGTGTCAAGGTATGCAAGTGCAACTCCAATTCCACCTTCGGTTCTCAGCAGAGGAGTAGGCTGGCAGGTAAACAAAATTTACGAGTTTCTTTTTCTTTACTTTTTCTGTTTTTCTCGCATTAAATTTTTAATATTTTCAAGTAAAATGTTTTATGTTTCTTATCAGGGAGTTGGAATAATGTTGTCTGGTATATTTGGCACAGGAAATGGATCATCAGTTTCTGTGTAAGATTTCAATCCAAGATAATTTCATGTTATTTGCAAGATTTTAAAACAATAATTGCACAATCACATGGCCGCGACACTACGATATTTATGTTTCTTCTATTGCAAGAAAGCACCTATTTTTTTCTCAGCAATGTAGGAATGATATGAAACAATATTGGTTTTTCCTTAGGGAAAATGCAGGACTCTTAGCTTTGACACGCGTAGGTAGCCGAAGAGTTGTTCAAATATCCGCCGGATTCATGATCTTTTTCTCAATTTTGGGTAAGAATATAGTTTAGACTGTGATCATAACTAAACTTACTAATTTTAACCAACTTGTAATTTCCTATAACAAACTCTAACTAATTCTAACCGCGGACATGTCTTGTTTGCTTAGTTTCATGTTTACTAGATCTACTTGAAACTGAAAACTTGTTATGAATCATCGTTATATGCAGGAAAATTTGGAGCTGTATTTGCTTCAATTCCAGCACCTATAGTTGCAGCTTTATATTGTCTATTCTTTGCTTATGTGGGTATGTAATATTATAAATTTCAAGAACTTGAGATATTATTATTATTATTATTGAAATTTCATTCGAGTATTATTTGCTTAAATTTTTTTTTGTGTTTCGACGCAACACAGGCTCTGCAGGTCTTAGCTTTCTTCAATTTTGCAACTTAAACAGTTTCAAAACAAAATTTATCTTAGGCTTCTCTATTTTCATGGGATTCTCTATACCACAATATTTCAACGAGTACAGAGCATTTAAAGGCTATGGTCCTGTACACACGCGCGCAAGATGGGTATGTCTCTTCCTACTTCTTTGATGCGAGATTTCAAATAGAAAATCAAATTCTAATACTATAGAAAATTCGATCCTTGACAGATATATTGTCCTTTTTTGACAGTTCAATGACATGATCAATGTTCCGTTTGCGTCAGAACCATTTGTTGCTAGTTTCTTCGCAATGTTCTTAGACGTAACGTTGCATAAGAAAGACAACCAAACACGAAAAGATAGAGGAATGCATTGGTGGGATAAGTTTCGATCGTTTAAGACAGATACAAGGAGTGAAGAATTTTATTCTCTTCCTTTCAATCTAAATAAGTTTTTTCCTTCTGTGTAGTTAGTTGTTCTTAGAATTGTTGCATGGTGATTTTAACGTATGGTCTTGCAGTATTTTGTTGTGGGTTATGCCTCTCATTTTCAATGTGAAGAAACATAATAACTGTCATCTTATTCGTAGCTAGATGCTTATATATTGTACTGATAGCAATATCAGTTGTCATAGTTGTTATATTTTTTACCAGAATATTGTCATATTAACCGTAGCTAGATACTTATTTATTGTACAATGTACTAGTTATTCTTGAACAAGCAGCAATTTTTCACTATCCAAACTTTCTATAATGTAGTGCACAACAGTTGGACACAAAGAGTGTCTTCCATGTCTAAAGCTTTTTCCAGCCATCTAATGAGGTCAGTATTGGAAGAAATTCGAAGATCAAAGGGGGGAAGAGAACCAAATCAGCTTTGAGAATATACAGTCGAGAAATAAGTGTTAGTGGTTTCGGGCTTTTCTTGACAGAGAGGGCAAAGGGAGTCAAGAATTATACCTTTCTTTTCCAGATTTGTCTTGGTGGGCAAGATATTCTTCCCGATTCTCAACAAAAAGTTCCTAATTCTCGAGTGTAGGGAGCTTTCCAGAGTTTCTTCCACAGCTTTGCGTTAGGGAGACTGGAGGGGCCTGTTTGCCTTGCAGCTCTCTTGGCAACTAGTAGGTGATAAGCTGACTTTACTGTGTACTCGCCGTCTCTTTCCTTGTGCCAAATGAGCTTGTTGTCATACCTTCTTATCGATAAAGGGATACTAGCAATCTGCTTGGTTTCAAGAGGATCAAAGCATGCTTCCAGGATGTCCATTTTCCACCTAGCCAAGTCTTGGTCAATTAAATCCTTCACCATTGAATCTCTCTTGTCATACCTTCTTGCAGGGACTTTGAAACCCTAGTTATCACCTTCACCTTTTGGATCGAGCAATTCGGATAATATCTACTCTTTAAGACTTCTTGTAATTGTTAGATGCAAAAGAACTCGAGAGAAAAGCAAATAACAGTTTGGAAATGACTGATTTATTCCTTGTGAAAAATGCAGCTAATAATCTAATGTTCTGTAACAGATTAGCCTGCTAGAATTTAGGAAACAAACTTGACTAGAAAAATTAAATTAAATCAAATAACAAATAATGGTATAAAAACTAGGACACTTTTGACTAAGTCTTATCATTCCCTTCCTTAAAGTAGACTGCATTTGCAGCTAGTTAACTCCTGAAATATCACAAACTCCAAACTTCCTTCTCAGCTCCTGAAATGACTCCAATTTCAGTGGTTTGATGAGGATATCCGCTAACTGATGCCTTGAACCACAAAACCGAAGCCACACAACTCCATCATTCACTAGCTCCCTTAAGAAATGGTAGCGCACATCAATGTGCTTGCTCCTGTCATGCACCACTGGGTTCCTTGACAACTTAATTGTTGAGTTATTGTCACAAAAGATGACAGTACTTCCACTGCCCTTGTATCCTATCTTTTTCAGCACCCTTTGCATCCATATTGCTTGACAACTACATCCCGCAGCTGCTACAAATTCAGCTTTCATCGTGCTCAACGTTACTATCGGTTGCTTTCGAGAAGACCAAGCTACTGCAACTCCACTTAGCATAAAAACATAACATGAAGTACTTCTTCTATCCTCTACTGATCCAGCATAATCACTGTCAGTAAAGCCAATCAATTCCATATTTCCTTCCCTTTTGTAAAGAATGTCGTACATTGTTGTACCTTGCAGGTAACGTAGAATTCTTTTTGCCGCTGAATAATGAACTTCTGTAGGTCTTGACATATACCTGCTCAATAAGCTAACTGCATACATTATGTCCGGCCTTGTACCGGTCAAGTACATCAGGCTTCTAATCAGCTGCTTGAAAAATGAACCACCCATCTCAACACCATTGTCATCTTTGGAGATTTTAAATCCTGGAACCATTGGATTTTCAACAAAATTGCTATGCTTCATTCCAAACCTTCTTAACACTTCTGTCACATACTTTGTGACTGATGAATATACCATCATCAAATTGAATTACCTCAATACCAAGAAAATACCTCATCTTGCCCAAGTCTGACATATCAAATTCCTTCATCATGGACTCTTTGAATTCAGACATCATTTTTTCATCATCTCCGGTATAAATTAAATCATCAACATACAGACTAATGATCAAAAGTTTATCTTGTTTGACTTTGGTAAAAAAATTTTACTCACTATCCTCCTTCTCAAAGCCTTCCTTTCTGAAGTATGATTCAATTCGGCTGAACCAAGCTCGTGGTGCCTGCTTGAGTCCGTACAAAGCTTTGTTAAGCTTATATACCTTATGCTTCTCATTCTTTATTTCATAACCCCTTGGCTGCTCCACGTACACATTTTCAGCTAACTTCCCATGAAGAAAGGCTGACTTCACGTCTAGCTGAAACACACACCAGCTTCTTTGTGCAGCAAGTGCCAAAATCATTCGAACTGTGTCCATACGAGCTACAGGAGCGTATACTTCTTCATAATCAACTCCGTATTTTTGAGCATACCCTTTTGCGACCAAGTGAGCCTTGTATTTTTATAATTCTCCAAGATCATTCAACTCATTTTTGTACACCCATTTGAATCCTGTTGTTTTCACTTCTTTCGGCAGCTCCGTGAGATCCCACGTTCCATTCTTCTCAATTGATCTCATTTCTGCATCCATGGTTGTCCTCCATTTCTCTTTCTTTACTGCTTCATCAAATGAAGTAGGATCAGAGTGAACTGCATGAGCAAACATGACTAAGTGAGTTTGTACCTCTTCCTCTTCATCAGAAAGGCCTTCGTCGGGGACATAGTCATTCATCCACCCTGGTGCTCTTCTATTTCGGGGTTCTGTCACTGAAGAAGCTGCATCTTCTTCTTCATTACCATCAACTGCATTTTCTTCTTCATTACTATCACTCAGTTCCTCCATTTCTCCACTTTTCTCATCTTTCCATTGCAAATCAAACGTGTTATCCTCTTCGGAGCTCTTCTCCCAATTCCATTGCCCGTCTTCTTCAAAGACGACATCCCGGCTGATAACAATCCTCTTGGAGGTAGGATCATATAGTCGGTATGCCTTTGATTCGTCACTTACACCAAAAAAGACACAACAACGACTCTTATCTTCAAGCTTTGTTCGTCGAGCATCCGGTACATGAGCATATGTTGTACAACCAAAGACTCTCAAGTTTCCGATTGAAGGCTTCACCACACACCAAGCTTCCTCAGGTGTCATTTCCTTCACTGATGATGTTGGACATTTATTAAGATCATAAAATGCCTAGTTTACTGCCTCTGCCCAGAATTTTCTTGGAACATTTTTCTCAACCAATAAGCTCTTCGCCATATTCATCAAGGTTCTGTTCTTCCGCTCGGAGACTCCATTCTGCTACGGTGTATATGCAGCAGTTAATTGCCGCTTGATTCCATTCATTTCACAATATTCCTTGAATTCATCTGATGTGAATTCACCTCCACGATCCGTTCTTAGACACTTAATGGACAAACCCTTTTCTTTTTCTATAAGAATTTTAAATAGCTTAAAGGTAGTGAATGCATCTGACTTATAAGCAAGAAAATACACCCACGCCTTCCTACTATAGTCATCAATGAAAGAAATGAAATACCTCTTGTTTCCCTCCGAAATCGGACTGCAAATATCAGCATGAACTAGCTCCAATTTTGTCGATGCTCTCCATGTACTTTTCCTTGAGATTACATCTTGATGTTGCTTCCCTTTCAAGCAATTAGTGCGCACAATTTCACCCTCAAAGAAACTTGGCAAGCCCCTCACCATACCTTTTATTTGCAGAGTCTTCAACCCTTTGTAGCTGAGATGACCGAATCTTCGGTGCCAGAGGTGCACCACGTCTTCAGTAGTTTCTTGGAAACACTTTGCCTTGCTATCTTTTTTGATTGATGGAGTGCTTGATAGCATCATGAACATTCGATTTTCTGTCATGTTGGTTTGGAATACCAAACCTTTTGTGTGGTGATAAATCCTGCACTCATTTGACTGCAATAGGACAGCCAAACCCTTTTCTTGCATCTGTCCAACACTGAGAAGATTATTCTGTAAACCAGGCACATAATAGACATCTCGTACAAGGTGATTTACTCCTTTGACAGTCAATCAAACACTTCATTTTCCAACAACGTTCATGCTTGCATAATTCCCTAATCTAACCACCTTGTTGAACCCTTCTTCTAAATCACAGAAGAGTGATGAATCACCATACATGTGATTACTGCAGCCAGAGTCAATATACCACACAACATCTCGATCGCCTCCAAGCGTGTCAACGTACGCCATTAGCACCAACTCTTCGATTCCTCCAAACCAGCATAATTTGCTTGCCACTCGTACTGGAAGTGTCCAAGCTTATGACACTGGTAACACTCAACTGTTTCCTTATTCCTCGATTGGCTACCCCTGCCTCTTTCGTATCCCCGGCCTCCTCGAAAAGCAACTCTTCCTCTTCCTCTTCCACCATAAATCTCTTCATGAGTCACCTTCAAAGCATGTTCATCTTCTCCACGTACTTTGAACTTTTGCTCATGAACAAGAGGCATCCACAGATAGTTGATCTATGTCCTTGGCTTCCTCAATAAAACAAACAATGTAGTTCCACTTATCAGTTAGGGTTCTCAAAATCTTCTCAACGATCTTGACGTCACCCACATCTTCCCCATAATTCCTCATGTGTTTGCAACCGTCATTACTCGACCAAAATAATCTATGATTGATTCACCCTGCTTCATTGCTAAGACCTCAAAGTCCCGACATATATGATTGAGATGAGCTCTCTTCACTCGAGCATTGCCTTGACACTTCAACTTCATGGAATCCCAGAGCTGTTTAGATGTCTCCTTCTGCGTAATTGTCTTCAGAATTGACTTGTCAAGCGATTGAAACAAGTAATTATTAGCCTTCAAATCCTTCAGCTTCATCTCCTCCAGGTTCTTTATTTGCGTTGTCGTCATCCCATCCCTACTCGTGGGC